TTAAATTCTATACTTTATCTTGTTTTTTTTTTTCGATTAAAATATTATACTTCTGTTATTTGTCTAAACAAAAAAAATCGAATAGCAAACGCGTATAACGCGTTGACAAAAGGACAACGCGCTGGAGAATTGTAGGGGTTGGTTTTTTTTTTCGTTTCGTTTTTATTTCGTTATCCGATATTTTAATAATATGCGATCTCGTTACATTATCACGAACGAAATATTTTCGCAGTTAAATATTAACGGGGCACAACAGCAAAATGTAATTTATATGTTAATAACCGGTCGATGTGAAATATATAGATTTTCCGTAGGTACGCGGCGGCGGTGGCCGTACTCAAGGGATACATATTTCTAATAACCCGTGTGCCTGTTCAATAATAATTTTCAGTATTTATTTATATTTCGTTTCCAATACCAGTCTCAATGGTCTCTCAAAACATAATTTTCCAGGACTACGTCGGATTTTTATCCAATTTCTGAAGTATACATTTCCTATATATATGTTCTATGAGAGTCCGCCTGGGGAACGATGTCTCGTTCGTCGAGGGGTAAAATCTTTGGTTTTTCTCGTTTATTCTTAATTTCGGTGTAGCTAATAATAATAATAATTATTATTACAACGAGACGCTTATTCAAAACCGAGGGCGACCACATGTGAACATGTAGTCTCCCTACATTTTCACACAATCTTTAGCCCCAAATAAAACAATGCATAACAGTATAATGTATTCGGAATATTATAATAATATAACACGAAAACCAATCACTTTTTGTTATTGATTTCCACACAAATATATATAATATAGCTTTTTAATATTTAATAAACTTTCCAGTTGTTATATAAATATATTATAAGCATATAGGTATTAAACCAATATCACGTGTGCAACGAAACTTTATTATACACAATATCGGAAATGTTTTTTCTGTCTGATGTAAAACAAGAGTCGTATGTTTGACTTGTTTATTTTTTTTTTGTGGACAAAGAGAGAAGGGTTGTGCATTTAAACTATTTTGATGGTTATGGTGACCTAACTCATACCAAGCGATCCGGTATTATAGAACTTGGTGTGTGTGTGTGTGTATGTGCAGTGACGCAACCAGAATTCATTTTCGGGGTCCCAACTAATTCATGACCACGAATTTCAAAACAAATTTGTACTATAATCAATTCATAATTAGATGGAGTGTCCGAGACGTACACATATTCATTATTATTAGAAAATGTCTTTGATTTAAACACAAATAACTAAACAACTGTATGTACGTATAAAATAACGTAGAAAATAAAAATACATTTCGGTTTAGATCATTAAGTGTGTATGTTTTCCAAAAAAAAAATTATGTCCAAATAAAATGATACTGTAACGAAAATCATGGTTGTTATTCAGAATATTATATTCAATGACTGTTATTCTATGAATATGTTTGTAGATAATACAATGATAAAAATCATGTTATTATTAATAAAAATTTAAAAAAATAAAACACCTAACAAAATATGATCTCTGAAATAATATTATATATTTTAATAATATAAAGTTTTAGTAATTCTATAAAAAAAAAAGCCTTTGTATGGAGAAAATCCCCAGGCTCTTCACCCTAAATAAGTTTTTACGTATTATAATCATGGGCGCCAGGTTTTCCAATTTTCACGGGGTGCCCAAAATCCTAAAATTATTTAATTTGTAATTAAATTAAAAGAAAATAACCAACAAAGCATAAGTCAATTATTGACTTTATTTTATATTTAAGGGGGGGGGGCGGTAAGGCGCCATCGACCCGAGGCGGTAAACTTTTTTTTTCGGAGGCCTACGAATTGGCGATGATTTTTTTTACCCATCACCAAAATAAAAGCCCAGAAGTGTGAGTTTTCTTGCCTAAGGGTGGAAAAACTATAAATACCTCTCTGCCAATAACCTTAACATAATGACGACTTGCAAACAAAATAAAAACAAAATGGTTATTTTTATTTTTAACTATAAGTAGTACCTATTAACAAAAAATTACATTTTTAAATAAATAAGAAAAAGCATTATTTTTGTCCATACAGAATTTATTAATAGTTTTAAATAAAAATGTCTACTATAGGTATATATTTCTTCATTTTTCAACAAATCTCAAACGTATTTTGTTTCACTTTGGTCGTATCAATAAATTTGTTAGCAATCTAGTCAATGTTTTTTTTTCTTCTTTATGTGCATGCAATACCACTATATCATTAAGTTGTATTTGTGTCATTGTTGACCTTAAGAATATTTAATTATAATTTAGGATCTACTATACATTTTTTTACTTTTGCAAGATTTATTAAAACGTATCTAAATAAAACGTTGTCGCCGCAGTCGTCGTCGATAGACGTCGAAGACACCACCAAAGTAACAAAAAAAAAAACCTAAAAAATGTATTAATTAAAAATGATTATTTTTACATTTATAATATTAATGTGTTAAATATGTATGTATTTTATTTATTTCATGAAATGAACTATGGGGTGCTTGTGCACCACAGCACCTCAATACTCGCCCGTGGTTATAATATTAAATAATAAAAATAAACTATCAGTATGAATTGGCGCACATTTCGTGAATATCAGAAATGTTCGAAATTAAAAAAATCGATTACGGTATTTAAACGTGTATAGAGACACACTAATATTCGAACGATGAACATTGCGAAAAATTTAATTTCCAATTATAAATTGTTTATTAACTAGTAAACATCTGATGTTATTTAACTGAAACATACTGTTTTTAAATATACGATCAATTTAAATAATACATAAATATACGATTCGAATTTTGGATGGGCTTAAAAGCAAAAAGCCGAAAAATGTATAGATATATAAAATTTAAACATCCGCAGAATGTGCGTATTATTACAATAGAATATGTATTATTCAATGTAAAAAAAAAAAAAAATAAATAAATAAATTAAATAGTGGAATATAATGAGTTTCAAAAAAATGTAAATTTATAGGATTGCAGTTGGCGGTAGAAAAAAAAATGACAGCTGTATATGTTTTGTTACTATAATTTTATTAACTCCATCTGTACGACGATAAAACCAGGTGGTGCGCATATTATACATAGGTGCAGGTATAAACATACAGTGGAAATAAAATATTCATTTTTCATTCGGGAGTAGATAAAAACATGACGGGTTTACAAAAATATAAAAATCCACTATATACGAGTATACCTATAGGTAGGTTTTATCAGGCGCCACTGGATAATTTAATTGTAAAATTAAATATTTTAGGTTTTGATAGCGTGATAAGTGGGAAAAATGGTTTCGCTTATAATATCGTAGATAGCGAGAGAGAAAGAGAGAGAAAGAGAGAGAGAGAGAGAGAGAGAAAGAGAAAAATATACTTCATCGCATCGTGGGTAGGCCGCGGTTGTAGGTGAAAAGTTTATTTAAAAGAACCTTACCCTATATCAGTTATATCCTATAACTGAAATAGGGTAATTTAGTTGAAAAATGCTAGTTTACAGCAAACAAACAATAAATAAATACCAAACAAATTAATGTTGTGTAGTATAATAAGTCACGTTTTTTTTTTCAATAGTTACTATCAGGTAACTCAGTAATCAACGAATATAAATCGAGGGTATCCTATACACATGATAGACCTAAATAAAAAAATGGACGGACATGCTTCACACGTGAGTGCAGCCACTGTTACAGGTAGGAAGTTGGGAAGATAGTAGATGGGAAGTTTAATGTATATCTGTAAGCAACTATAGACCATTGCTAACAAAAAACGATTCCGAGTGGTATTTAGTTGTTAGCGTTGCTTTTTCTATAAAATATATATATATATATGTTATATTATGGTAAAATAATTAAATAAGCATTATATAATTTCTTTAATAATATTTGTTTAATATTGTATTTCCTAGGTTTTCCCGATTTTCCGATGTTTTTTCTCGGTTTTTCACATTTGCTGGAAAACTCCTAAGAAAATCGAAAAATGACCACCTTAAAGTACCACCCCGAGAAAATTTTCTTTTAGAAAAGGGTCTACACCGTAAACATCGGAGTAAACTTTCTAGTAGAAAAAGTGTTCACACAAAAAAAAAAAAAAATAAAAAAAACAAAGTAAACCAATACATTCTTCGTCGTGACACTCGGAATATAAAACACATCTCAATAAGAGTATCTCACTACATTTATAACCTATACAATAATAGTTTCTTAGCTTACTAGGCTTACTCAGAATCCAATAAAAAGGAAGATTGCTGCGATTTTCGAATAAAATTACACGAAACACATTAAAAGTTTTACACGATTTATATTTTTATATTTATATATATATATATATATATGTTATATTTTATATACATTTAGTAATATATAGATAGGTTATATTGTTAAAGAATTTTAACTACAGGTGTTAGCATATTTTCAAGCGGTGACTAGCGTATGTATCATGATAATAATTTACATATACATATATATGTATAATTATGTATAACATGACTATATATATTAGATATACGGACAATGTTTATTTCTCGTTTTCGACAGTCAGTATCGGATCACAATATTTGTCCGTACATGTACAATAGGTATACAAACGGTTTCTGTACATGATATAATATTTCGTTCTTAAACACTATAAACAGTTGATAATAATATACGAGAATATAAATACAAAAATTATGTTACAATAAAATAAAAAATAAAAATAATTTAACAATATGATTGAAAAATATTTTTCAACGTCCACGCAACGTACGAGTAGTAAACAATAATAAATTACAACGGAACGAAAACGTATAGGAAGGTGTTAAATAATAATAATAATAATAAAAATAAAACACATGTTCCGTCACTGTTGGCTGATTTAAAAAAAAAACAACAAATCCGGTTAAAGTTTCATTAACATTTCAAAATATCTATAAAAAAAAAAAAAATGAAATAACTTATGACCTAAAATTGTTCTTTTTCTCCCGTTTAATGGTTTTTTTTTTTTTTTAGTTTTTAATTTTTTTTTTTTTTATTCAATAAGTATATCATATCATTATTATTTAAGTAGCGCTTTCACGTGGCGTGCCGTTGATCAGCAACTGTAAACGGTCATTTGCTACCGGAGAAGTACAATGAACAACGAGGCCGAAACAAAGACTGATATCTGGTTCGTTTTATGTGATTGAGCAATGTTTATGAAAGTGGGTGAATTGCTCGATGCTGTGGATAAAAAAAAAAAAGTTAAGACATAAGTAAATATGTAGCAAGTACAATAGGGTGCTTATCATTTTTATCGTAAAGACGAGGAATTTTATTTTAAATTTTTGATCGGACCCCCAGAATTTATTCAAAACTGTAAACAAACAAATTGTGTTAAATCATATAAACATGATGAAATTAAAATTTCTTATAATGATGAGAAAAATCGCAAAAGCGCATATGCTCGTATAACGAGTACCTATAGGCGTTTTTGAAAATTACTTATTTGTTTTTTTTTTTAAATAAAACAATTTTAGAAAATAAAAATAGAGAATTATTAATATGAAAAAAGTCCCATGGTATCATTTATGTTATAAAATAATGAAATACCTACTAAATAGTATTTATTTGAAATTGTAATATTCATTTTTTTTATTTATGAAGTGTATAATAAATAACTGCAATGAACATTTATTTTAAATATTTTTTTTAACTATTCATAGTTTTATTTATGTGTTATGGGAGCTAGGGGGTGAAATGATTTGTTCGTCCCTTATACTTTAAACGGAGGGTGAACTGCCCCCCTGATCCGGTGCCATTGGGTTGTGTAATGAAAAATAATAAGCAACAATATTTATAGAAATATTTAATTTAAAAAATATATTAGTCTATGTATTTTTACGCATTATCATAAATATTTTAGGCATTAACTTTAAAAATAAAGCACCCTTTTAATTGTACTTTTCTTGAGGTACGTTTTAGGGTTGACCAATTATTACGTAACACAATTTATTTTTGTATAGTTTAGAACAAATTTCTGGGGGTGGCTCGATTAAATTAAAAGAAATAATAATATAGACCATCCCATAAGATATAAGCTAAAACGGGGTTACCACAATAATACGATATACAAAAATCGTTCACGACCATTTCACTTGGTTACAGTTGTTAATTAACATTTGCAAGAGTATTTAAGTGTTAACATTGTCTACGTCGTATTTTAGACAATACCTAGCTGATGCTATATGCTGTTAAAAACAATAATCGTATCGTAAATGCAAATAACGTATAGCAAATTAACATTTTTATGTCAAGATTATTAGTTTGTAATTTAATAAGCACGAACAGAAACAAATTATTTACAAGTACCAAGTATACGAATTAAAAATTATTAGCGTGATGATATTATTTCATATAAGTAGGTACACTGAACCGAAGTTCTAAAACAAAGTCGAATTATGCGCGCAGTAGAAATTAACAAGTTTAGTATATTGATCTTGAATTTTAAAAATTACATCGACACTCAATGTCGATGTAATATTGATCCAAAACATTGAACTTCAGAAAATGTTTTTAACAATATGTCAATATAACTAAATTATATAGGTATATATATATATATATAGAAATGAACGTCTATCAGACTGTATACGATTAATAGACTCAAAAACTATTGCAGAGATTGCTACGCGGTTTTTTACAAAATGTGTCGCGTTGTCCGAAGAAGGTTTATAGCTATTGAAATCCATTCCCTATTAAATACTATCCTTAAAAATTCGGTTTTAGATATTTTTAGTACACAAATTTATCAATATTTTTGTTGATTTATGGGTTACCTTAGTAACACGAATGAACAAAAGAACTGCTATTCATTATATTTGAGTGCAATCACTGAGCCAGACAACAAAACAAAATACGTCATATGTCATAAAGCAATGAATGAAATGATTATTTTACAGAAAAAAAAATAAAAAAAAATATGTATTTGCAAATAATTGTTTGACATGAAATTCTGATTTAACTCGATTGTGATTTAAATTACGTTTGTTGATTAGCGGTTGAAATGTCAAAAGAGAACATTTTTAGTCTGCCGAAGTCGGACTATCCACTTATTTTTATATTTAAAAAAATATAATAAAGTGACTTGTGCAGGATAAAAATACATAATAATCTAGCAACAGCAATACCTAGTAATAGCAAAACGTTGTCAGGTCAGCTAGTATTATATATTATTAACACCAGACAATGTTACTTAGACGATGATGTATTTGTATTTTCGATTGGAAGTTTCTGAATTTGGATTTCGATATAATGTACGATCCAATCAGAACGGTATTATTCTAATGCCGTTGTTTATTGTTTCTCGAAACCCGGAGAAAACTATTTTGGAGCGTGGTTCAATATCTATATTTAAGCCCAATAGGACTTTCGCAAGTCGAGTAGAACATAATAAATCCATACGAACAATATACTCTACACAATATCGTCAATATATTAAAATCGAGTTATTTGAGTAAACGTATAGGATTTTTTACTATTGGTCTAACGTCGGGTTTTCGTATACACATTCGGTACGCTTCATTTGCTTTTTACATCAATCGAATTGATCGCCGATAGCAAAACGAATAATTGATATTAGTGATGGAAAAAATCCGGTTTTGTCGAAGTTCGAAAATCTAGATTTTTGGCATTTTGAATCCGAAATCCGTATTTTACTCTAAATCCGGAAAATTTTTAAACATCGAATTAGTAGGTATTATTCGTATATATTTCTTATAATAAAGTTTCACTTTTAAGTCTACGCTTAGATTTTATTTTAGATATTATATCAAACAATTTTAACTAATTAAAATTAATTTTTTTAAATTAGAATACAGAAATTTACAAGATTAAATCTAAAATTTGGATTTTGAAATAAGTAAATTCGAAATTCAGATTCAGTAACCTAACATAATCCGGATAAATGTCACATCACTAAATGATATACACATTGTTTCACACAAGTGTACCAATTTTAATGTTAAATAATTTATAAATAATAATTAATATCAAATCGGTATACAGTTCGTTTTCTCACCGTGAACGGGATCAGCTCTGGAATCGGCGTCCTGTTCGTCGGTGGCCAGTCCCTCGTCAGCGGCTGCGGCTTCGGATGCGGCGGCTGCTACCGTCGTGGACCTGGGCTTGTGCGCCAGCGCGCTTTGCTCTTTGGACTTCCAGTACACTGTGCCCAGCGTGGCCACACACTTGAGCTTCATATCCCGGTCGAACTTGTTCCGCTGGTGACCAGTCGTTGACCGGAAGTGTTTTTCTCCCGCCTCGAATTTCAGGCCGAGCGTGGTGACCATCAGGCCCTCGCGGCCGACGTATTCAGTGTATGGACCCCGTAAATATGACGAGTTCACCTAAGGCGCGGTAAAACAAAACTTTGTAAAAAAAAAGATACGGACATACTTCGCACCTATTGTTGTACACGTGAGCATTTGAGAAGGAGGTCGAATATTTGAGGGAAATCTGTATGGTTATATTTTGAAGGAGTATTTAATTACGAGTATTTGAAATTTTATTTTTATAATTATTATTGTCAGACGGGTTTTTGACGGGCAGCCACGAAAGTCACGAGAATTTGCTTTTATATACAGTTTCGACAACAGAATTGTATTATATGTGCGGGCAATAGTTGTGACAATTACGTGCTCGGACCTTACAGGCAAAACACCCGAAACGAATCGTCTAAAATTTACGATTTAAAAGCCGACGGCTAGATTCAAAACACGTTCCAAATGCTTCAAAAAAGTGGCCACAATCACCGTACGGATTATAGGAAAAAAGAAAATAAACGTAGACTTACTTGTTCGCCGTTAATGTACCAAGCCAGCTGTACGGCGGGTTTCGATCTGCCGGATGTACAGTTCACGTTGACCGTGTCGCCCGGTTTGTACCGATCTTGGCCACCGGATATGCGCGGCCCTTCTTCGGGTGGAGCTAAAAAAAACAACACGGACTTTATATAATTTTACACATTATCATTATTAGAGGAGATATTTATAAAAATAAAATCCTGTTAAATATCTATTTACTAATATACTCTAATAATCACCAAAATATTATGTTCTAGGAAAGAACTCTTTTTTTTTTTTCTTTTTTTTTTTCTGAGAAATCCATAAAATCTGAGTCGTCATTTCCATTTTATAATTAAACGAGACAAACATTTTACGCAAGGACCATTTTTGGACTTGTAAGTACCTATAATACTAGTTTATCTCCTTTGTGTTTCAAATCAACCATTGGAAAATTTTAAGCCCTTTCAAATTCCGAACAGTGGCGTATTTGACTAAGTATTATGGAGGGCATAGACGTAAATTAGGAGGCTTATGGGGCTTAACCCCCCAAAAGTTTGTGTAGCCCCTCTAAGCATTTTAAATTTTAATAACCCATAAGGTCGTGTGTTAGAAAAATTGCTGTGTTATATTTTTGGACAGCCGATTTTGTAGTGTAATAAAATTAGAATGATTAAGCTAGGTTAATGTATTATAACGGCAACAAAGATAACAGTTAGTAGACGACGTGCGATGTATAGGCTTTTGGCTTTTATTATTATCGCTATTACTATCGAAAAATCACTATCTTTTAAATTTATGTGAAAACCCAATACAAATAACAATTGAGTCAGTATTATGACGATGAACGGTAAAGTGTAAACATCAAATATTGATCAGTTAAGATGTTATGACATCGGGGAAGACCACGAATGGAATATATGCAACAAATAATAGAGGACCAAGGGTGTACTTCTTATAAAGAGACAAAGAGGAAGGTAAGTAACAGGGAAGAGTGGAGAATTTCTACAAACCAATCTCAGGATTGAATACTGAAGAAGAAGAAGAAGATGTTATGACGAACAGACGACGACTTATTTTCATTAACATTTCCAATTAGTTCCTCCACGTGTGAGAGAAGCTACTCAGCTATGTGTTGGATAAAAACATGACTACAATCATCTATGTTACAAGATTTATTCATTCAGGTGTCTATCTTATATACAGAAAAAAAGTGATGCCAAAAATATTAAAACAGAGATTATTCATAAACAATTTGCTGATGAACATTAATATATATGTTAAAATAATGTAAAGAAAATGTTATTGATAATTAAATTAAAATTTGTATGGTTTGTTTAATAAATAATTTTGAAGTATTTATATGCATGTTTTACAGTAAAATGAATACATGTATACATTGGGGTAAGGAGGGGCGAAACCCTCCGTAGGCCTATTCTATATTTATAATTTCAGCCCCCCTTTAAACAAGCTAAATTAACACCTATGATGGGGGGGGGGCGAATACTAACATTATTGCACACAAGCTTATACCTACTTTACTCTATTTATCTTACCATGAAGTGTTTTATATTTTTGTATCTGATGACACTTTTCTAGTAATATTAAATTTTTGTATATATTTATATAGCAGATACCTACATAAATTAATTGATGGAGGCGATCTCCTTCATCACACTCCCCTCCTCAAATACGCCATTGATTCCGAATGACCCTTTAAGTTTTTAACGACCATCACTTTTTCGAACAAAATATTAAAAAAAAGAAAGTAATATGAATACATAAAGTGCAAATAAAATTAAAATCTTGTTGGTTTATAATGTAATAATATGCTAATTTTTATTTTAATCTCTCGTAGTACACATACGCCGTGGTAAATTATTTTATTTTATGGGTAGTAAAAATATATACCTATTATAATAATATTATGTAAATGTATATAAATATTAGATTTCTGAATTTCGTATGTAAAAATCAAATTTTCTATTCAGCCTCAATTGTAAATTCCACTATATTGAATCACATTATTCTAGTAATTCGATCTTAACTTGTAAAAATGATCACACGAACGAAATATTATAATACTCAACATCGCTAAGGCAGATATTTTATGTATACTAAAATATTACAATATTTAAGCAAATATATGCACTAATAGAAATACTGAAATGCCAAAATATCTTCTAAAATAAAAAAAAAAAAGAAATCATTCCTATAATATGTCTTAGAAATGTATTAAATTCTTAAATATGCTCTAAAAATGTAAGCAATTTTTAAAATATGCTTTAAAAATTTACACAAATATAAAATCATAAATTATTATTTTTTTAAAATTCAAATTAAAATGTTGTACAAATAGTATTTAGAATAGAATTGGAACGAAAATAGGTCACGAAACACATTTTGGTATAAATTAGCTACTCGTATATTTTTGACCGACCAATAATACAAATAAAAAAAAAAATATATAGCATAAAAAAAGTGCTCTAGGATCGCGTTAATTTGTTTGTTTTTGATCGTTTTGGATCATCTGGAGATTTCCGAGCATGAAATCTGTTTCATAGTGTTATCAAAATTAAACTATTTCGTTTCGCATTGTTATACGTTTTTTAAATATAATATTTCTGTTGCGTGTTATACGATGAGATTAGGTTTTTTATATTTTTCCGCGGGTTTCCGAGGACGGCTGGGTAAACTAGTCAGTCATGAACGCTCGTGGGCACCGAACGATGTCGACAACCCTAGGGGATTTTCTAAAAATAATAATAAAAATAATAAATAATAATTTAATCTAAATTTAGAAACTCGATAATTCCGTACGCGGCCATAATTTATTATTATTATTGTCACTGAGGATTCAACGAGACCGTGTACTGCACCGGAAATGAATGGTTATGAGTTTATGACTATACTACGATTTATATTCTGTTGAAATGCGACACGTGATTATGTATATTAAATACCGCAGCCACATTTTTACTTTAATGTTCTCTTATATAACTCGGAAAAAAAAACATGTTCATATTATATTCTTTTAAAACGTCCGGCAAAAAAATATTGTTAAATGTTTTTAATTATAACATTAAATGTGAAGAGAACGTAACTAATTATATTACGTGTTTAGGACGTTGCAGGTTAACCGGAATTATAAACAATTTGTTTAAATCTTAATCGACGACAGCGTATTGTTGATAAAAAAAAACATAAAAAAAAGGTTAGAATTTTAATTGCGCATTATTATGTCTTAAAAAGGGTGAATTGTATGAACCAATTTTTTTTATTTTTAGAAACATTTATTTCATAAATATTATTATTTTTGTTACAAGAAATGGTAAAAATTGCATACAATATTTTTTGTGTTGATTGTAGTTACAAAAAAAAAAAAAAATCCCTTTGAAAGAATTTTTTTTTAATAACTTAGATTCTCTGAATTTGATGACATTAATTCCACTATATAATACTGCTGTTAAAATCCAATACAATGGAAATATTCTTTTGAAAAAAAATTCGCGCTCTGATTGTCACTATGCCGGGTCGGAAAAGGAGTGGTACTTTACTGTAGTAGTATATAAGTAATGTTTAATGTTTTTTTTTATTATTTATATTTTTTGAAGTGGATCATTAAATGTTTAAAATCGATCGGAAGAAAAAAAAAGCGTTCTCCATAATATAAGAATAACGAATGAAGTGATGATATTTTATTGTATTGCCATGGTGAAAACAACCCGGTTCATTGACCGGCTACGAGTTTGCATACCCATATCAGATTTTAGGCTAAGCGGTAGGCATAAATGGCGAATAAGCAGCCCGTCACGGTTTTTCATCGGCTAGGTAGCATTTAGGTTTTAGGTTTACTCTTGGAACAGTGATAACTTCTTTGGATTATCATCAGGTTTTGACCAACCGGTATTATGTTTTGTAAAATTCCTATATAACTCCTCTTGAAACCGACTCGGTTACTATTCGGTTTGGGCCGACATCGGATAGGATCTATAAATTAAGCTGACCGGACGGCTACGAGGCAGTCAGAGAGACTATTAAAAACAGATTTATTTGTCACCGTGGAAAAAGAATAAAACATTCGACGGTGATTTAAAGACAAATTTCGTTTGCCTTTTTGTTTTCGCGGCAATAAACGGTTCGGAAACGCAATCACATAAACGTTGTCGTCGTCGTTGTCGCATACCTTTCGTATATTACATTATTATAATGACGATTTTCCAGAGCGTATAATAATTTCCACGAATTGAATAGCTTTTGGACCATTTCGGAGATTATACGGCGGTAATGATAGCGGGAGTGCAGACCCGAGATGTGATGGGTACCTTACCTACACACTTTATGTACAGCTTCTACTATTCCATATATACGACGAGAAACATATTATATAGATACAGAGAAAGAGAAGAAGACAGATATATAGAGATCGGATTGAATTATAGACGAGACGACGGAGTCGGATTGAATTAGACGTAGCCGAGACAAAGGCTGCGAGTTAAACCAATTTGCACGTGCGACGACAATATTATTCCCATCCGGAGGACGTCCGAAAAGATTTTACGAGACTGACACGGTGACGGGGGGGGGGAAGGGAAATCATGTTGTTTTCGGCCGATTAGAACGCGCCCCGCGGGAGGTGGAGATGGATAAACGGACGAATTGACTCGAAATGCGGTCAGTTCGGAAGAAAAGTCATAATAATAAGTAATGACATTTTGAGTACCTTCTAGGCGAGTGTTTGTTTTACCAAAAAAAAACTAGTCCGAGAACAAATCTATATTGTAGCTTACAGGACCGAACAAAAATGTGTTTAAGTTAATTATTCCGAAAATCGAAAATATCCAGGGAGGTTTCAATAAATGTTTTGTACGCTGAATCATCATAATATTATATGAGCTAGATACCTATACGGTTTTTTTTTCTTTAAAATAAAACAAAAAAATCTAAAATGTTTTACACAGTTTAAAGTATCTATATTGTTTTTTTTAACAACGTATTGTTTTAAGCGTACTTATTTATTAAAATACGTACACAAATTAATTGCCTAAAAAAACCAAATGATATTGTATTTATTCTCCAAGATCTAATACAATACAAAAATAATCTTAAATAAAAATTCGATTAGGTAACAACACACGTGTGGCTTTTAAAATATTTTAATTCTAAATAATACCGACGTTTCTCAACCTCTTCAGTTCATCGTGAGTCTATATTGCTCACCACGCGAAAAAAAATAGATTCGCTCGGCCGCCAAACTTAAACAAATTCGCTAAAATTCGGAATTGTTAAACGATAAAATGAATAATAATATTATACATATTCCCGTCGAATGTTTCGGGTTGCCCACTTGTCCGGAAGCGCACATTTACGGAAAATATTAAATTAAAACAGTTACAAGATGTTTCAAAATCATTGTTCTCGATGCTTATCGACAAACTCTATATAACTATATAAATATGTAACACTAATTTTAAGAAGACACGGAGAACAATTCATGAACCCGTAGCCCGTAGGTTTTCATGTAAAACCGGAGTATCCGGGTGAAATCCGAAGAGGTGACATCCCTATGTATAAAGTCATATTGATATGAATGCAGTTGAAAGTTGAATCCAATGACTCTGTGATGTTATAGTACCATTATTGTTTTGACTATCAATTATTATTATCGGGACGTCAATGATTTCACCGATCCGAACGGGTTTAACAGACACGCCGTTTAGTTGAATTGCGAAAGGCGAGGTTAGGCATTCGATTATTAGCGAGATGTTCCGTACAGCGCCGGACCCACAAAGATCTCGCGCGAACAAACGATAAGTATAGTATTATAGCTGGTACTTGTTCGGAAGCGTTAAACTTCGCGACGGCGATTAGGAAAAGACTCTCGTCCCCCCGTTCTCTTATATTCGCCCGACCGTAAATATTTTTTTCCCTCGTAAAAAAAAAAAAAAAAACGATACGCGCCCGCGTATTTATACCGTTTATTTTATACCTATATTATAATATATATAGTGTACGTATATAAACCGAAAACGGAATAAATCACGGACAATTAATTTGGAAAGTACGACCGCCGCGCCGCCGCGGCTATCCGCTCTCTCCGCCCGGACCATCTTCCCCGGCCGGGTGCGTTTGCACTGCACTCGTTATAATAATATATAGGTATATTATTATTTTATATATGTATATATAAAACGCGTCTTATATATAATACAACGCGAGCACTCGGACCAAAATTCATTAGACACGACCCGTAAAATATATATACACGGGTGGCGGACGTTTTAAATTAATGGAATTTAATATAATAACGCGTACCATAATAGTACCCTGTATTTAAAAAGTGTACCGATATATAATATAGTTATTCGACTATTGTTGAACGAAAAATAAAAAAAAAAATAAATAAAAATTCACGGTTTTTAATATCATACCTACATATGATATATATTATAGACGACTTGGTTAGGTGGTTTCGTAATAGCGTGTGTGCGATGTAGACAACCGCGATGCCCAAGTACATGTATATGCCACAAGCGTATACATATACTTACCGCCGTATACCTACACGACGTACGCGACGGAACGACCCGATAACGGACATTTTAAAATGGGGTTTTTTTTTTCTTCAAAGCCTGAAGAAAAAGCGGCCGGAGGTCATTATAATATTATATGTATAGGTAGAGGTACGTGAGAGCTTGTGGAACCGCGGCGGACTGCTAAATTATGGAAATAGTAGCAGAAAAAGAGTTATCGGGACACGGCGTCCCGTTACTGATTCGGTAAACCGAACAAAAATAATATTTATCGTTATTGGTAAAATCGATTTTTTTTCAAATTTTTTTTTGAATAGGAATTTAAAAAAAAATGTCGATCGAAATGCACCGCAAGAACTCTAGCGATTTCGCGATTCGCCGGGAGCTGTGTAATGACAACCGAAATATTAATTAAGCATTCGTATTGGTATCAGGTCGATACGTTCGACTCTGCAGTCTCGGAATATAGTCTGTATTTTTCCACAGTTTCTCATCTTCTCGCGGTTAACTTTACGATCCATTTGGTTTATATACACTGCCGTGCAGAATCGTTAAGCAAATAATAATTTCAGTTTTATGACGTAATAAAGAGTAAAATAATTATTGTCTCTCCGATGTAATTTATTCGGTACCCTCCTACCCCCTCACACCTCCCCCATAACCTTTTAAGTGAATTCGTTTTATTTACAAACCTATAAATTTATTTACCAAAACGCTTTATCCTTATAATATAACGAACGTTTGTTTTGATCTTTTTAAATTAACGTTTTTTCTCCCCTCTTGAACAAATTAAAGTTTAAGCGACTGAGTAAATGCAATGATTTATAAAGTTTTATTATGGTTGGTTAATTTAATGTAAAAAATTGAAATCGCACGTTCTGAATTTCAGGAGACGATTATATCTTGTCTAAATATAGGAATAATTATATCAAACGGTACATACCGACTGTAAGCATAGAGCTGTGGTTGGTGACAGTTTGGAACGATGGCGCTTCTGCAGAAACTTCGCACCGGTATTTGCCACTACTCGCGAGTTCCAATGGCCTTAGGACGACGCTTTCAGCGGTTGACTGAGTTTGCTAAAATAAAATAAAATGGCGAAAAAAATTAATCGGATGGTAACAACCAAGAAAAACAAAAAAAAAAAAAGGTACAAAATAGATAGATTTATAATACCTATTTAGGTATGTTTAGACTAGATTAAAAAAAAAAATTAGCGTTTCTACGATGTAATCAGTATTTTTATCATTTTAACGAATAAATAGCTTTTTTGTTTTATTTAAACGAAGTTACATTTGACATTCGATGGGTATCTGTAATGTGAGTTCAATATTTTCACTTTAAAACACGGAATTATGATTAAGGATTCTTTTTCTTGTTCTAATTTCCATTACTCTACAATTACTTTCGCTATCATTACAATTTGCCGACACTTCTATTGATTTCGAATGATATATCTCCAGTAGTTGGTGCCTAACCTATCTAGGTACTTCTCAACCTCATTTAGCTACATTATTTTGGTTAACCTTACTACCTCAGGATATGTTCCCTGTTGGTTTTTAGATAATTGTTATTATCGTCATTTATACGCATTATATGTCCAAAGCAGTGTATCTTTTGGATAAACTGATTTGTATTGGTTACACCCAAATTTCCTTCTTATTGAATTTTCTTCTTCACATTTCAGAATTACCATGCGCGTTGTTGATATTAATGTATCGTTCTACACAATTTTATCAGTGTAGTTCCATTTAGGAGGATCTGTATATAAGAGTGTTTAAAGCCTAAAAAATATACCTTCCCGGACAAATATGCCAAAATTCATGTTAAAATTACATCCAACTTTTATCACATTGCAATCGTTCAGTCATACGTTCAAAAGTACATAAGTACTTAACCTAACCGAATAAAATCTATAAGTAAACCTAAGAATGAAACTAATATACGGTGACCAGTGTGCCGATGAATATTGAACTCCGTAATATTTGACTGAGGAGGGGGGGATAAATTTGAGTTGAGATGAAATTTGAAATGTTTCCCTTGGAAAGTATTAGCGGGTAAATATTTACTAGTGAAATTTTACTCCCAAATAGTTTACCAAGAGGGTGTTCTTTTTTAGTAACATTTTATCGGAGAGGTTAAATATTACGAGTATCCATTTTCAAGGTTACACCGGTTTCAAATACTTTCAAAACTAAATTAAAAAACTTCGTCGACAAAGTTCGAATGGGTTTTTTTTTATAATATTATTTCGTCTGTATAGTTTCGTTTAAGCATCAACAATTGGCTGTCAAATAGGTACCTACTCGAAATGCAAACAGGCCATTCTAGTACCGGAGGACGTTATGGAAGTATAATATGGTGATTATTGTGATTTGTTGTTTGGATTGAATCGAACTTATTGAAGTTCGCATGTATTTCGAGTGTCTGTGTAAATTTCCTAAGTACCTAACACAATATGCATAATATATTGGATGATTAGAAATTTAGGTTACAGACATTTTCTCGTATAAATTTACAAAACAGGCTCGGATTTAGACTTTTGGATGCCCGGAGCAAATCTTTTTTTGAAGCTCTTAGTAGTGAACAAATTTAAAATATTCAAAATCTAATTATCCGAAGAAAAAAAAAAAATTGCAAATTTAAACGTTATAACTATTTACCTAAAATGTGTTTATTACAAGTTTGAAATACTGCTGTTTATGTATCACAAATTTCAAAATTCATTTAAATATAGTAATGTTCTTAGAGTAAAAATAAGTATAACATTTTATTTATTTATTTTACTTAACACTCCAAAGGGACAATGAGTACAGAGTATTATATAATTATTATATATATATTATAATTATTAATAATTATTATATAATACATAAATACTTAAAATTATTGGAATACAATTCCTTTATTATAATACTTCTTAATTCAACAAGTGTATCAAAACAAAATCAAAGTTCAATATACCTTGATCATGAACCAAAAGTCGATACTTCGGACTATTAGCAATTAAGTTGTAATTATTTATATTCTAAATAAAATTTGTTTTTGTAAGTTTTTGTAAAAATTTAAAATTACACAAACATTTATATTTAGTAAAATACGCAGAGCTTTATGGGGAAATAAAATTTCAAAATCCATTTCCCAATAATCACAAAATGTGACACTGGCCTTTCTTGTAACTAGCTACAGATATTTATATGTATTATACACATATATTTTTTTATATTTTTTAAGTTTCAATTGTAAATAAGGACTTTTTTTCATAAGATACACTATTTTCGTTGGTAAATAATTTAATATACTACCGCTATTTATTAATAGCCTAACTACATTACCAAAAAATAAGATATTATTTGGTTTATAAGATTATTATTTTTGTCTAACTGTGGTAACACTCGTCATAAATAATGGTTTTGTTTTCATTATAATTTTAGTGGTTGGTGTTTTTATGCATACGAGAGTTGCCACACGTCCACGAAATCTTAGATAATGTCTATGATTGCAATATTGAACTTACTGAACTGATGTTACCAACAATTAACGAATCGTTAAGTTAGCCTACGGAAGTTGTAGATAATAATAATATTACCTTTAATTATTGAAAAACAATTATGTAAATAATTTTGTTTTCACTTATTTCTCTTCGTTGTCAATGTAAAAATATGTATACTTAGGTTTTCGTCGTTGTATTCGTATAAAACGTATCTTATAATTTAGTACACTAAAAAAAAACTATTTAATTATTCATTATTACAGAAAAAAGATGGAACGAATTGTCCATTTGATGAGAACTTCTGAGAACATTTTTTTTCATAAAAGGGTCTACATCGTATTCATCGGAGTAAGTTTTTTTGTGGAACCAGTGTTTTTCGGCTACACTCAGAATCTAAAAAACTGAATGTAATTACGTATACACGATTACACGAACCAAAGCACACGCATAAACGCAACAGTTTGAATTGGCTGTTAAGTGTTTATTCATTTGATTCAAAAATAAATCATATAACAACTGGAACGTTTATTTTTATGTATTCAAATATTTTGTGTTCGCTGGATGCCTCATTGCCATTATGATGTTGCTATGTGAAATCTTGTATTAATTTGCAGACCAAATCATATAAAAATAAATCAATCTTTATTTTTTGATGTTGGTATTTTTTTTTTCATCCTAAACCAAGGGTCAAAAAGTTTTAAATTTTTCATATAGTACTCCGGTATCCGGATGCCCCCCCCCCAAACATTTGCTACCCGGGACAATTCCCCTAAAATCCTCTGTCAAATACGACCCTGATACAAAATATACAGATGAATGTGTAATGAATAAGTCGTTTTATAATAGTAAAATCTAAAATTATGTGCGGTCTTAAAATTTGAAACGTTAATTTATTAGGGAGGGTGGGAGGAGAAGGTATTTTTAAGGTTGCATTTTTAAATTAAAAAAATACCAGGTACATTCGTCCTTTTAATGAACTTAAGTGGTCAGAAAAAAAAAATTTGAATGCTAAATTCTTTATCTGCGGCGATTTAAAGTACTTACTGAAATACGTCTAAAATTAGCAGAAATTATGCATAGTGTATCTGCAAGATTTAACAATTTTCTATGGAATAAAAATTTAAACTGGGATTTTTTAACCTGTGGTTCATGGTAAATAGTTATATGAAGATCCACGGAGTTGTTGTAAGGACTAAAGATAATAGTCCGGATTTTCTTCGTTTGTCACCATCATAACATCGGAAATCTAAGATAATATATGTATTGCTTCATTTAATTTATGGTCCTGGATTTCAAAGCAATAATAGAGGTGATTAACAGTTTCGATTAAATTCGATGCATTAAAAATTACAACCGATGTCACTCTGAAACTTAAATAAATTGCAAACCAAACAAAAAAAAAAAAAAAAATTATTCGTATGTATCCTAAACGTGCTTTTTAATGACATTAATAAACAATAAATGAACTGTAGTGACTGTCTAAGTATTATGATTTAAAAATAATATTTTTTTTTTTCTTTGGGTGGGTGTCCGTGGCTATATTTTATACTTGAAAGTGGGCCGGATATGATTAAGAACCTACGACGTAATAATAGGGAATTGTCAAATCGTGCAGAGATATTCTATCTGAATTTCATGCCATCCGTTTTATACTAAAATACCCCTGATCGAGGTCACGGTTCTATTTTTCGGTGACTTATTTTTATTTTTTGATTCGAGCATAACAAATTATTGTTATTATGTACCGTATATAATAATAATACGTGAATAGTAACGGTTGCCGAAAGTCGGTTCAATCATTTTCCTAATGCATATTATTATTTCAAATTTATATTTAGACAATATAATACATGCATATTTTTACATATTATTCTACAAATAATTTTTATTTATTGTTATTATTATTATTTTTTTTAATATAATAATATATTATACAGAAACGTAATAGGTATTTGTAATATAAACACGTGTATTTATTATATAGGTAGATACCTACCTGCCTAACATAAAATTTTTCAGAGGGCCTCTAAAATATAACTCTTTGATGTTTTATTGCGTATCGCGATTTATGATTTTATTTCTATTTTCTACCCACATTTAATGTACCGTAAAACATGAATTGGGTATTATAAGAAAATGTTTAAAATATATTAGCGAAAATTCTAAAATATTATGTATTTTATACAAAATATATTATGTACACTCGTACACACGACATTGTAAAAGATTCGAAGAAAAAGTAGATCGGCATGATAATTTAAATGTAGATCTGTGAGTTTTTTAAATTTAAATTTTATTTTTAACCAAATGTTTTCATCTGATTTCATTAGCCAACCCACGTCCATCGTTTTTCTCAAGCTCTTTTTTTTTCAATCGATTCCGTAAAAAAGTGTGTATTCAATTTGCCCCAAAGGATACCCAGGGCCGGTAGATGCGTTTATGATTATTATACGACTTCTAATAACAGATTAAATTCTATAATAATTTTACGGCGTTTCAAAGAGAATAATATTTGTCTTTCTCTATATAATATTATTATAACGCAGCATAGGTATAATGTGTTATTATAATTTAAACATTTTTATTAAATTAATATTAAACCTCACACACCACCGTGAAATCTCGCCTAGACGATATAATATATTATTATTTTGTCGTCCTTCGTAAATTTCAGTAGGTACCTAAATCGTCTACCTACATAATATATATACCGCGTTATCTCGATATATTTAGGGCGGACGACTCGACTATATTCTCGAAAATGGGAAGTAAAGGTGATTTCCGCCGAAACGAAAAATCAGGATGCAAGGATAATAAAAAAAAAAAGAAGAGAAAAAAAGAAGATATATAGGCCATTTATTTCGTTATTTTGAGTACACTTTCGATTAGCGCGACATTATATTATTAAATCCGATGTAAATCATTCGACAGTGCGATTTTATGTACTTTAGAGTTTAGGAGGGGGGACGTCTATGTGATTCTAATTTATTAAGTAGCGGGTTTAACGAGTAGTTTTTATTTTATTTTTTATACAAAATTGAATTATTTCTTTGACGAAACATTCAAAGTTAAAACGAAGAGATATAATAACATTATGGTGTTCCAAAAAAACCATTTACACAATTAAATATAGCAGAATAATAAGTTTATTTACAGATAAAATACCATAACAATGATAAATATTATTTTAGGCATTCTTACGAACTCATTCGCGCAATGTTGTCAAAACTGTCAAATAGTAATGTTGGTTCATAGTTTGACCCTCTGGAACTCATTTAGTCACCACGATGCCGTTGATATCGAAGAAAACGGTTTTGAATTTGGATTACGATTGAATTGGATTCCGGTGCACTCTCAACCTTCAGAAAATAAATTTTGCCACTCAAAAATACGCGCCCGAAATAGGAAATCCTCACTATAGGCCTCTTTTAACAACTTATAGCACTCAGCTAGAGTTTTTTTTAGTTTAACGAGAACATTTTACGTTTATCCGTTGCTCATGTTTTTTGGCACGAGAAAAAAATACGTTCGTTTCAAACCATTACTGCACAAATACTATAATAGTGACGAAAACGTGTTTTGGTACGTAGATAAGATATCTAGATACCCAACGCATTACTCATTTGTTTCACTACCCATCTAGGGCGCCCTCTAGGCGAGCAGTCTCGTTATTTAATAGCCACACCTCGTATAATAACCACCAATCAGAATCGTTTTTCCCGCAGTGTTATAAATTCAAATTAATATTAAAATTGTTGTGTTATTCATTTTAGAATAATGGTATAAATACTCGATAATAAGTTAGTTGGATTAAGTTTGTAGGTATCTTACCAAAACAAAATCAGTTTACTTTTCTATTAAAAACTTTTTACCAGAAATGTTGCTCTGATTATCGACTTCAGAGGTGGGTTGTAACGGTGTGTTACAACTGATAATATCCATGTAGATTACAGTGTGGATTATGATAAAACGTTGTTATTTAACGCAAAACAATAGATTTACACATGAAATACACCGAAGAGAACTCAAATATGATACTTTTCTATTGGCTTTTCAACATACAATATACTTGCCTTTTAAACTGAACAACGACAATAGTGTATGTGTACCTAGGTCATAATATTATCATAAATACGTAAAAGCGCGCTTTTGAAATTCAGCGCCTTATAGCCAATATAAGGGAAATCGAATATACCTATCTTCAGTTAGAGAAGTAGGAGGGAATAGTAGTAAAGAGACGATAAAAACTAACGGTCAAGTCTTCATTTATATTTTAACTCGGAGTGCGCACGTTATTATTTTTATTTTTTCATTATTATTTCTCTTTTTCATTTCGTGATGTTTTTCATCCTACCTGGTGGAGGATTTAACGGGCCACGAATGTGTATAGGTATACGCATAAGGGGGTGTGTTTGAGTTTGCCAGGAGGGTCCGAAAGGAACATCATGAATATGTTTGCACACAAACCCGCATTAGCCTAAACCTATGTATATATAGACGGGTTTTCAGGATTTATTTTATTTTCGCGTACAGTATAGGAGTATGTACAGGGTGATTATTTCATATCAGTCACCACGAAACAATCCTCGAAGATTTTGAAAAATTTGAGTGAATACTACCGGTGTCTGATTTAGGCGTTTCGAGGTACAAGACAAGATTACAAACTAACAATATTAATAGCGTTGTCAATTTTTATCGCGATTCTCTGTATTTTATATTATTTATTATTATGTATAACATTGAAAACAAAATGAAACAAATCATTTCATAGTATTAAAAAAAAAAAATGAAAAGAAAAATAGTATAAGTATAAATTATACGTTTCAGTACAATTTGTCTTGATTTTTTTATGATATCTGAAATTAAAAATGTAAATTGAAAATCAAAATTTGAAAATACTATTACGATGTGTTTATGCTGTTCATAATATGACAGTAAAAGTAATATGTTGCAAATATTATAAACTAAAAGATCATTATAATATCATTTTATCAAAATCTTCGTACACAAATATAATCCTTATTATAGTTTGTGATAAAAGAATCACTCCGTATATTATGCATATGTAATGTTTATACGCCTCTTATATATTCAATATAATATGTGTGTAACCGCCCAATCACCGCCGACCACAGATATGGATTTTTGGGTAGGATAACCCCTCCCTCCCGATTGCGATCGACAAACGAGCATTAACCGCGACGTTGTCGTCAGACCAATAAAACTGTTGTACTTATGTGTATACTTAAGATCATACATGGTGTGTGGTAGACCAGGTTTCCATCCGCATTCCCATATCACGTTTTATGAAATAGCTTTATAGGGATGGGGCGATATGACTTTTTACAGATATCCGATATTATAATCTCCGGGGCTATGAATTTATTTTTACACTATAAAACCTTAAAAAATGCATTTAAAATTACGAAAAATGTTATGGAACCTTACTCTGGAAATTTACTACTGATGCGTCGTATTTAATAACCCCGCGATTATCCTTATCTTATCGAATCATGACAAATCAAACGCTGTATTTACATATTATAATATTCGTATATAGCGCGGGCTTATAAAAAATACATAAAATAAAAGTATGACGCATATACAGCAAATGCAAATAAAAAAAAAAAAATGTACATAGTTCATGTTAAAATGGATGACATAGCATAAAATGAACTAAAAATAAAAACAATGTCCTTAAAATTATGTGGGACCTTGACAATTTAAAATGTCAAAAAATACAAAGTAAAAGTTTTAAAATTGAACACGCTGTAATATATATATAATTGAAATTTTTTGTTAAGAAAGCAAAGTTTTACAGTGAGCTACAAAACAAATATCCTATCGATTATAGATACGGGTACATTAAAAAACTAAATATTGTTGCAGTCCAAAACCACGAACCTAAATTTAATAAAAGCGTCGATGTTATTATATGAGCATTGATTTTGTATTATTTTATGTTTATTTAGTTTTATTATTCAATAAGATTTGATTATTTTTTCTCTATGATTTAAATATTAACTTCAAAGAAAAAAAAAAACATAACCTCAGGCTAAACTTTTTTAATTCAAAAAGTTTTAATCAACACGGATCATGCTCAATAATAATATTGAAATATGAACATTTTAATTAACATTTCCCTTATATTTTTTTTTAAATTTATTGTTAATTAATGATATTTTTACATATTATCGATGAAAAAAAAAGTATTTAATAATAACATAAATTTTATGATCGTATAAAAAAACAAATTATTAAATAAAATCGTAGCGCAAAAATCTGTTAATTGTGTTTATAAAACACAAAAATAATTTGCGTTATTGTAAAAAACTAATTATTTATTATTTCTTTGTGCATTGACTTTGTGCATTTGTACATTCACGTAAACAAATTCCGTTTCAGTTGCTGCAACGTTCAAAATATATTCCAAATTTAACTCAAACATATAATTCTTTGAAAAAAAAAAAAAAAATTAATTTACCTTTATTAGAAACTTTATAAAGGTCATTCAAATTTCATTTGAGTAAAATTTGCTATATAATACTTATTTTAAAAAAATGAAGTATTAACTTATATACATTTTTTAGTTATTTAAAAACGTTTTTGAATCATATATTCTAAAATATTCATTGTCCTTATTTTTGTGTGGTGAAATTATTTACCTATATTACCACCTAATGAAATATTAGTTTAAATGCATTTTGGTGTATTATTCAAATGCCGTGCGCCATGCCGCCACTCTAATGATACGTTTGAATAGTGTTCCACTACTCTCCTCTATCCAAACATTGAACTGAAATACCTCGTTTATCCGTTATTGACGAAAAACAATAATTTCAAGACAAAAAAAAGCATTTAAATTAAAATTCGTATATCCATTTACGGAATTTTTAATATAGGTTGCTATTTGAAAATTAATAACAGGTAATCGTTTCTCTCCTAAAGATAAGATTGAAAAAATTAGGACAATTTAATATTTTAGAATATACGATTCCAAAATCATGATATATGAACAATCTTTGTACGCTTTGAACTGGATGCCGAAAATCGTTATCGTAGCTATATCCCCTAGCTGATATGGTTTGTAATCGTGTAGGTAAGTAAAAAAAAAAAAAAAGTCTTGTCTAAAAAAAAATCTAAAAAACTAATTTATTTTTATGAGTGAGAATATAGTCTTATAACTTGTGTCATATTTTTTAGAATTTATTGTGTACCTACTCTGCTGGTAATGCTTTGTAATTTAAACTTATTTGCTGCGGGTTGCAGCTAGACTTTTATACGCGTTTTCGTTTATACTTTTATGTACGCATATAATATGCGACTAGGTTTAATAATAATAATATTATTATTATTCTTATTATTTGTAGTGGAAAAAAAATACAAAAATGTTGCAATTCTTTGAATACCGCCATCTGTTGTTGACCTCAAAAAGATACATATCAGTGATAATATGTTATATATAGACTTACGAAAAAACCATCTGAACCGTTTATACGAGTTGGTATGCAGAACAAGAACGTTATATACATAGACATCGTTATTTACAATTTTATCTAATAAAATAATTGAACTAGCACAAATAAAACACTATTGTAGTATCGTTTTATACAACTGCTGAGGTTAAATTGAAAATGACTTCACACACTGCTTTTTCTTGTTCTCTATATATATTGATTGAATTACGTCAATTACTGCGTATCCACGAGTTTAATCGTTTTAATGTGTACACATATTTATTTTGTAGGATTTTATAGTATGTAGAGCGAAATTTGAAATAATTTTTTGAAGTACTTTCGTGTATTTTAGATTCTGAGAGCAGCGATATTAGTTATATATAATGTATTATAAGATCTGGTTTTTTCTCTTGAAAAACACTTTTCGGTTTTTATAAACGGTGCCTTATCTAAAATATGCGGGATTTTCGCTAAACGGTACATTATTTAAAAAGTTTTTCAACAATTTCCAATAGTTTTTCTAACAAATTGCTTTTTATGCGAAGAAAATTAAAACAATTTTTCGGTGAATAAATGATCCGATTTTATCACTCAAAACTTTTTGAAAAAAAAATGTGCAGTTTCTACCAACCAGTACCTACTTTATTTACAGTATGTTTTGGAAATTCTTGGAAATCCATCCCTTTTTTTTTTTGTTTCCATTTGTTAGTAAAAATGCTTTAAATTGTTTACCTTCACATTGTACCTTAAACTTTGCATATTTTTCGTATACAAAATGTATGATACCGTTCCGTTTTAATCACGTATTATAATTATTATCTTAGTTAATCGTTTTTATTAATGTTCAATAACACTGTATGGAATTGTGACGTATTATAAAATAATGCATTTGATAAGAAATTCGATAACTATTATTATTCATTGAACATTGATTATTATAAATTATTCAGATATTTGAAATAATAATTGGTATTTTGTAGTTTCCAAAATATCTACTTAGAATAGTGTCAAAGATGACTTCTAAGTAAAATTTCAGATTTGCTGACTGAAATTTTACACCCACCCCCAAATTATCTTCTAAATCCACTTTCCCTCCTCGCTCTCCTTATTGGTTTCGTATTTGAATATTTATTAGACATCAGTAGTGTTCTATTTTATCGTGTAGTCGTGTTCGATCTAATTATTGTACGTGTTTTGAGTCATGAATATATTATGGGAGATAAAACTTACGATTCCGATCCACAAACGTGTCTGAAATGTCAGTTACATTGTAAAATTGTGTCCTTAAAAAAAAATCAGAATAATTGAAAATTAGACGATATAACGTGTAAATCGAATTTGTTTAGTTAAACATCTGGACATTTATTGTTTAAAAATAAAACGAAAAAATAGTGGTTATTTACTTGAATAATTTCCTTGAATTTCCAACAGTTTTAAAAAAAAATTTCAAAAAAATTACATTAAATGACGATAAATTGATTTTATTTTTTTTTTGTTGTTTCACCTTGACTATTATAAGGGAAATGTTTTTTGAGAAAAGAATCCATAACAATAGAAACTAGGAGGTTAACTGTTGAGAATTTTGAATGAATAATTTAAGAAAAGTTGGTACAATCGGTGGAGAAATCTGCATCTTTTATGAGTGTATGGTATATAAAAAAAAAAAACTGTATAGAATTTTACTAACCGAAAAGTTTTCACGAGGGAGGTGGGGAAAACACATCGTAGTAAAACTAATAGCTTCTCAGACTCCAGAATCTAAAATGAAAATTAGTTTATATTTATAAAAGTCTTAATATTTTTTATTGTAACAATTATTTGATTTATACTATGATGGTCGAAATGCTTATATGCATAATAATGGGCCCATAAATTATTACATTTAAATGCTTGTGATTGCATATCGAAAAGAGGTAATTTTAATAAAATCTAGAATTAATGTATATAATTATAGGCAAGTTCCTGTTACGTTTAAGGAGATCAATTTCGGATTAATTGGATTATTTCCGAAACGTGATCTCGGATATATTGCTCCTGCGTGGGGAACGTCTAAAAACGGAATACACGGCTGGGGGTTGTTCGTACCGCGAAGTCTATAAATAGAAAACTTTCCGCACTTTTGGAAACGCCCGTAAAATATAATATATAATAATTAGTTGACTCGAGTCGATATTTTAACATAAGTGCCGCCGTCGCCGTAAGTTTATGGAGAGTAATTTAAATATACTTGCTGCAAGTATAAAACGGTATGTATAAAATTGTGTATATGTATGCGTAATGAATATAAAAGCATTTTACACGCGCGGGTAAAATAAAGTTTTATAACAATTATTTATGAACAAACGCGGACTTGCTATACTTACACCTAATTTGGATGCTGTGAGATATGCGCATTTTCAAACCATTGCGCTAAGTGGTAGGTATTTACTATTTTATACTATTTATGCAAACGAGTACGATTTTATAGGAATCACGAAATTAAAATTCCGATCAAAATCCACCCTTAATCTTCAAGTATATTATCTGAAATACAGTTTTAATTTCGATACCTAAACGTTTCTACGTACTCGAGACGGTGTTTGTAAGTTTTGGAAGTATGTCATTTTTTTTTTTTTTTGTGAAAACACTTTCCTTATCATGAACTTTTACCCTATGATACAGTGATAAACGGCAAATAATGCACGTTGATTCATTGGAAAATATTTCATTTTCAGTTTATTACGCACACATGCGTAATAAAATTATGGCGGTGGAAAGTTAGTAGTTAATTACAAGACGAGAGTATATTTATAATGTTTTTTTCGACGAGGAAATGTTATTTTTTTTTTATAAATGTAAAACGAGTGTAAAACATATTTTAATTTGTTTGGAAATACAATTTTATTCTTGTTATCATTCTCTGGTTTCTAGTTTTCTTAGAACTATTATTATCTTGCACCCGATCATTCTTCGTTTTCTATTTACCTTTGCTTTTTTTCTGGTTTGAACCCCTATTAAATAATTTTACTTCGTTTTTTTATTAATTCTTGCCATCTTGTTCTGGGATACATTCCCGAATTTATTAGCTCATTATAATTTCTGCAAACACGTATCGTCCAGGAATCTTCTCCGTATAATGTTTACTATACTTGTACTTAAAGCCTCTAGTTATAATTATTATGTTTTATACACATTGTTCATTCACATGCGATAATCATATTGATGGCTTAAACAATAAAAAGGTCCAGAAAAGCCTCGCGTCTATGATTTGGTAAATTATAATTATTATCGTCAATCAATTCGATTTGAAACGAATCAACAGAATGGTATAGGTATTTCGATCAAAAACGACGAGGGGAAAAATGTACTTATCAATACAATAGTCGCAAATATTTCGATTTCAATTAAATCATCTGATTTTACTAAATGATTTCGCGTTAATCGTAAAAGAAAAAAAAAACCAATGATATAATAATAAATATATCGTTGTGTTTCTTGACGAAAAACTTTAAATCGCGAACGCATTATTTTTGCGTACCGGGTTTTAATGAGAGTTCAAAAATAAGACGTCAAGGATGAAATTACAATTTGAATAATAAATTCGTTAAGCCCTCGTATCGGCAAACGCGCTGAAATCGGACGGATATTTATGTCGACGAAATCGATTGGGTAAAGTGAACAGCCCGTAAACTTAATAAAAACAGAACACCGGACATTTGGACAGTCGGGCGGGTAAACAAAAAGGGTCGCGGGGAAAGAAAACCAATAAGTGTGTTGTTTCCGAAGGGTGGCAAACTGGAAATGGAATGAATGAATAATTAAAAAATCGCGGTTCGATTGTCGTCAACGCGTTTCATTTATTGGAGAATGATTGGGGTGCTATAGGATATGATGACTTCGGAGGGGTATTATTTCGTCTTTTGTGCAACAAAAACACGCATTTAAAAATTTAAAGGCATGAGAATATTATCGATATTAATAAAAAAAATTATTTCTGCATATGTTGTGCATTGTAATTTTTGTTTGTTAGACTCGTGATTAAATCACTTTATGTCAAAAAAATAAAAACATACCTGGTATACTTGGTTGTATAAAAGGTAATGAAAAAAATTTAATTTTGTCGTAGATTCCTCCGAAAATAGAAGCTATTGCACTTAATTGTGTGTATTGTAACTTTTACTCGTTTCTTTTTTTCAATACTTTTAGGTAAACCAGAGGGTTTAAGACCATAATATTATCTATGCTTTGGAACAAAACGAGCTCAATTTCAAAAATTACGGTTGTTTTATAGGGGAATTGATGTGATACAATTTTGGATGAATTTTGATGCGATTTTCATTTGTTTTTTATTTGTTGTGAGATGAGGATATTTTTGATATTTGTATACTTCTACAGAATACCAAATGAAACTACCATGAACTATAATCAATATTAAAAAAAAAATTAAGATAATGGGGACGGGCGCAGCCATTGATGTAGGTGGTAAGTTGAGAAGGCATGGTATAGACAGGAATCTAATATACATCTGTAAGCAATGATAAACCATTGCTTAGGAAAAAACGATTCTGAGCGAAGTTTAGTTGATATTAATGCTTTTGTAACAATATATATATATATGTCATTTTATAGTAAAGGAAAAAAATTAAATAGGGTTTATATATTTTCTTTAATAAAATTGTTTAATTTTGTACCTATTTTCCCAATTATCTAAGTTTTACCCGGTTTTCCTATGTATCATCCCGGGTTTTCACATTTGCTGGGAAAGATCTTAGGAAAATAAAAAAATGACCTCTTTAAAGTACCTCGTTAATAAAATTTCCATTTAGAAATATTGATATTATTAAAAGTTGGAGCAAATTTGCTGGTAGAAAAGTTGTGTACAGAAAAAAAGATGGCATATTAATACATACATTTCTTATATTTTCCCGTTTTTTTTTTGGTTTTTAAATTTTGTTGAGAAAACTCCGAGGAAAATCGAAAAACAATCTTCTTAAAGTACCTTTCTACGCCGATTTCCTTTCAGAAAAGGTGCTAGACGTAGATTTCCGAGTAAGTCTGATAGAAAATTTGTGTACAGATAAAAAAAAAAAAAAACAAACATCTTTGTAAAACCATAAGCTTCTTCGCTCCACTCAGAATTTAAAATGTAATGGTAATAAGTCAACTTTAGTGAATGAGCTCTGCTGCGCATTTGTGTTTATTTATCTAGATACAAATGTATCTGATTATTTTTCGTGTCTAGATAATCAAATTGTTATAATATTATCTTTTATCTTCGTCTAGATCATATTATTCTAGCGATTAACTCTAATTATTTTAAAATTTGTCCACACATAATAATACAAATACCACTTGAAATTCTCTTGGTGGAGTTACTATAATATATATAAAACGTCACAGCTGATGCGAATGTATAGGTATACGATATTACAATTTTATGTATTTTTGCGTATCATTTGTAACAAAATAATAATGATATTGCTGTTGTATGAATTTCGCCGCGTTATTGTGCGTCGTCGGGGTCAAAAATAAATTAAATTTTTTTTAAGGTTTTCTTCTACCCACCGTGAGCGCTTCCGTTTACGTGGACAAACCGTTCTGCGGACCGTCGTCGTCGCGACGAATGGGAGGCGAGGCGAAAACTAACGAAAATACAATTCTCATGAACGCGTGCAAACGGCACGCGCAAAAGAGTTTTTCGACGAATATCGTATTAAACTACGGGTGGCGCGCCGAGTTTTTGTAACGCGAGCCCGGCATTAATTTTCCACGCCGTAACGTTCGCGTTCCATCATTCCCCGGCACAAATCTGACAACAACACCTGGCACGGGCACCGGTGAGTGTGTCGAAGAGAGATAGAGAGAGAGAGAGAGAGAGAGTGAGAGAGAGAGAGAGTGTGAGAGAGGGAGGTGGTGAGAGAGAGGGAGAGAGAGCTAGCGCGCGAGCGAGAGACTAATTGACGTTAGTCCTGTTTTTTTTTTTTCCGCAATAGATTTGTTCTTTCTTTTCGTGCCCTTTGCCAGCAGCAACTATCCCACGGGTTCCGGTCAATCGCGTAGGTCCCCGTGTCCGGTCCCGTCCGCGAAAACACAAAATTGTTTTTATAATTTTTTTTTTTTTTCATCGCTACACTCGATTGCGTACAATAGTAATAATAATAACAACAACGCGATTTCCGACGTTGTTAAAAATATTTTGCGTTTATATCAAGGGCGATTTTGGCGTTTTTGATTTTTTTGTTCGTTTAATATTCGATATTGTAATCGTGCAACGCGATCGTATATACACCGTCTTGGTTTTCCTTTCAGTGTTTTTTTTTTTTTTTTTTGTCAAAACGTTACCCGCGTTCCGGGCGCGTACCGCTGCCGTAAACGTATTACACCATATTAACTTATCCCACGTGAAAACACCGCTTTTTCTACTGGCGTTTTTCGAAAAAAAAAAAAAACAAAAAAAAAACAATTCGTTTTTCGTAATATTTTCAAAACCGCTGTCGATACGTTGTGTGCGTATGTATTACATGAGTGACTACAGGGGAAACCGCATCGGTCCGTTTTCACAGGCCGACCACCGCGGAATAAAACGTAATAATAACTGAATGTTCGTTTCGCGAATATTAATGATATCGTATACATTTTCCAACACTGTGCGCGACGGTACTACGGGGATCACTGCAGGTATTGCGCCGCTAAAAAGCGGGGTTCGTTAACACAGACATTGTAATAATTTTACGTGGGTACCTATAAACTGTACACATTGACGTTTGTGAAAAATGGAAAACTATTGTCGGGGGAAAAAAAAAAACTCTCCCAAAAACACGTTCGTAAAATAATATAATCGCATAACATGCAGCGCCGTTCGTTGTAGCACGGTTATAGTTTATGCGTATTTTTTGTTTTGTTTTGTTTTGTTTTTTTTTATTTTCATTAGTTTCGTTGGCTAACCGGCACGCGTGTTATTCCAATACGATTTGTATTGTTTCGTAAATTATTATTATTTTTTATGCGTATATTATAATATAGATGATGTACCTATGTATCGTTCGAGATACGTGCACGGTAAAAACAATAAAAGAAAACAAATAATCTGTTTTAAGTACACGTTTTATCCTTGTGCGTATACCTACTGTTCGACCTGCGCACGCTTTACCGTTTACACAAACGTATAACAAATATAACGTATTATTCATCGCGATGTTGGTATTTACAATATATTATGTATACTTTATGTCTACGCCGGTTTTAAGACGATTATTATACTGAAAATTAGAGTGTATCGTCATAAATTCGTATTGTTAATATTTTAGTTTTATAGTCGAGTATTATACGCGAGTTAAACCGCGAATCGTGCGAATATTGTTTTTCGGCGACATGATGAAAATCTAACATTTTTTTTTTTTTATTTTCGTATCCGTCTAATTTGTGAAATTTATATCGTCAAGCGTCAGCGAATAATTGAATAACGTTAATGTTACAAATAAATATTTTCTCCTTCAACCAATACTTATATACAGAAACTAAAAAAAAAGTTGTGTCGTTAAAAAAGTTTAAATCATGAACGAAACCAAACCTTTTACGACGACGAACTCTTTTTTCTCATTTGTTAACTTTTCTACCAGAAATATCGTTGCCGTCAAACATAGAGGGTGGTTCCTGATATAATTAATGGTGTCTAATAGTAGTATATTGATGAGATCATAATTTGATTTGTCTTACTCTAGTCCTTTTAATAGTTGAAAAACGGGTAATATCAGCTGAAACTTTCATAGAATACTTAAACTAGTAATTTATAAGCATAATTTTAAAAATTTTCAGGCATTTTTAAGTTATTTACAGCTACCTATTCAAATTTTCGAGTCAATGAAAATAAAACCCAATTTATGACTGTATCTATAGGAGAGAAAACCCACAAAACAAAATAACAATAAAAGATCTATCATTTTAAAGAGTCCGTAAATTTATATACTTAAATGTAGGTATGAACTTAGAAGCAGATAACCATGAAGAGATAAATGGAAAAACCACTGCTGGAAACAAATGCTATTTTTCATTAGTCCAATTATTTATGTCTAAGAAGTTATCGAAAATAAGATTATATAAGACCTTTATTAGATCAATAAGTTGTATTCTATGTCTGTGTAGCGTGGGCGTCTTCAAAGTTAGACGAAAATAATTTATTGATTTTCGAAAGGAAAATCTTGTGAAGAATATTTGGACGAAAAAGAAATAAAGAAGGGGAGTACGAAATACGGTTAAACAGAGAACTCAGCACTTTATTCCACGATACTAATATAGTAGTCACTCTCAAGAGCCAGAGATTAAAGTTGGCAAGGCATGTATGAAGAGCAGAGAGTCAACGTATACAGAATATTACAAAATGGAGAAAAAATAGGAGTATTGAATGGTGATCAGCAGGCAAATCATAGAGACGCATGGAGAAAGATTGTGGAAGCGACAATGGGCCTAAATCTAAATAACTTAGATTAAGCCAAAAAAAAAAAAAAAAATGTTAGAGTTCTGTTTTGGTTTTACATGGACAATTTTTTTTTTTTGACTTCGTAGAAGTGTTTGAAACATTGTTTTAGTTGTTGTTGTGTATATTATATTTTTATAAGCGTTCTAATAGTCCTGAAATCTGATGTTTGATACAGTTAATTTAATACAGATACAATATTGAAATGTATTGTAGTTACAAATTGATACAATGTCCAATTCAAATTTATTATAAAATGTTACTCCTCTTAGAAACGTTATTCATTTGCAATAATTTGTATTTTCACTATTTCTTTGAAGATATAGTTTTTTCTACTCGATATGAGCAAAATCCCGCAAACCGTCATGCCAATGTGAATAGTAAACAGCACTCGCGGTTCAATTCCCTATTCTGTATTCATTTCGTTTATTTTGCTTTCATAGCGAACTGCAGTATTTCAGATGCTGAGATTTTTTAACCAAAGACCATTTTCTTTTCACAATATACGACGTAAACGAATTTGGTCAACGTTTATACGGAAAGAATTATTATACGTGTACGAGTATAAAACACACGATTGTCCAAAGATAAGGACGGATCGCCATCAACCATTGTAGAAAAAAATACGTCCAGTCGTTTAAGTATACTTAGGACTTTTATAATAAAAGACTAAAATTGATACTGTTCAACAAAAACTCAAACAGTTATTATTTTTAATTGAAAATTTTATTGTGTTGAGAACAATTTTCATAATAATTATTTAGAAATTATTTCTAAACAAAACCGATCGAAAACAAATTTGTTCAAAATTATGCAAAACAAAGTTACTTACCATAATGTTAAAACAAACTAACAGTAAATAATAATGGAAAGTGTGAGTAATAAGACGGACATACTTCGCACGATGGGTAGGCTACTGTTTTGGGTGAGAAGTTAAGAAGGTAGTATATAGAAGGGAATGTAATTTATATCTGTACGCACCGATAAACCATTGATAACAAAAAACGATTCGAAGCGAAGTTTCGTTTATACATGTACGTACATTTTCCCGATTTTACTCGATTATTTCTAATTATTATAAAAATCACATGAAAAATCAAAAAAATAATTCGGATGAAATTTTCTTCTCAGAAAAAGTATACACGACACTTAAAAATCGGAGCAAGACTTCCGGTAGAAAAATTGTTTATAGATAAAAAAAAAAATATCACCATTGTAAAATCAATACATTCCTCTCTACATTTCGAATTTAAAATTTTTATCACATAAGTACATACATTTACAGCATAAAAACATAGAACGTTATTTACGTATTGATAAGGGCAAGAAACATCCCTCTTCTATATTAATTTACGGTGAGCACAATCCGTGCTTTTTATTTAAATTTTTATTCATATTTTCCATTACCAATTACTTTTAAAGTTTTATTACAAGCATACATTTTAATTTTTTTGAAAATTTGTATTTAATTTTATAATTATTAGTTCTATACATAACTAGAGAATAAAAATCATAAGTTTATGAGTGATGGAGGCTATATACGAACAAAAGTTGACACTTTTTCTCTACAGATATATGGGATAAAAAGAGATAAAAACGGTAAACAAATAGATTGACGGAACATCTGATTTTTGTTTCTTGTAATGCCATTGAAAATATGAGTACAAACAATTTAAAGTTGAGATTGGACTACTGGTAATGTATCGAAAATTGATTACAAGTTTAGTAAGCAATAGTTAATATAAGCATAACAATAATAAGAATAATACTTAATAATAAAGAAAAACATTTTTTTGCTTGGTAGATAAAAATTAATATTTATCTATAGCATTTAACTATTAAAATTTAAGCATGTTTGGTAATAGTTCAGCAGTTTTAAAAAAATTTAGGTATGGCCATGCCCAAGTCCTAAAGTTTGGGTCTGACATATTTTAAGCACTTTAATTATCTCCCCCTTTCATAAATGATAACACTGATAAATCACTAGTATTATTTACTTTTAACTTTCTAACATCTTATAAAATATCACGATTAAAGATAAATGATAACTAAACAATTATCAAACTATATGCTGTTATTTTTTTTGTTTCCTTCAAAAATTTTGTCCATCGAACTTTAGTTCACCATAGTATTATTAAAAATACATTAAAGTATTCAACTGATATTGGAAATACGAGCATCGTTTTTATCTTATACTACCCATGGGTACCCATACCTTATACTTTAATTGGACCGAATACTGAATAGTCGTAATAATAGTTTCAAATGGATACGAAATTTTAGTTTTTGTCGACGCCATCGTTGTTGTTGTATTATTCATTAACATTATTCAATGCTGCACCGGCAGTCATAGACGTTAACGTGCTTAATGTGGTGGTTATAGAATTTGAATTTGTAACTGTAAGTTACTAACAACTATAAGGTTTTTGGGTTCGGGAGCTTATGGCGGTGGCGGTCAGTAACTCGACAATCGAATCTATTACGTGCGATATTTCAGAGAGTATATTTAGAGGGGCCGAAATTCTGTGCATTAAGCGTCCGGAAAAGTTTTACATTCTGATTCAAAAGTTTAATTAAAAAGGTACCTAAGTTTTACATTAGAATTTAAATGATTTTTATTTTGACCGATCGTGGGATAAACAGAATCCACCGAATACAAAAGCCATAACAGTATAATTATATAGAAATTATAGACATCTAAAACAAACACGAAAACGATACTATACTATTATTTATTATTTCTATTCTTTTTATCGGCATTTTTGTTGTCTGGTATAGAATACATAATTATAATATACACCGTAATGATATTTGCTAATTAAATTTATAGACAATTTTATTATTTAGATATGAATTTATCCCGTGATTCCTTCTGGTTTTTATGTGTTGGTAACGCATTAATGTAACACATCAAAATAAAACAGGATCTATTCATATATTATATGTTGTTCGAGGTATTTTTGTTTAAAAATGTGCTAACACTAGAATTATTATCACACTCGTTGGGGTTACCTAATTACAAAATCGTGAAAAATTTAAAACAATTTCGTTATTGGGTCATCTCATCGAGTATCATAATAATGTTATTGCCGGTACACTTTTCAGAAACACTCGATTTATAATATAATTAGTAAAGCCTGGATTTCAATATAAAATGCATTTTTGTGAGAGTCTTATTTAAGAAAATGCTTTCCAAGTATAACCTAACCGATAATCCAAAAGTGAAACTTTTATTTAACAACGTTTTTAAATTATCCTCTGTTTTATTTTAAGAGCATTTTCAGTTATTTTATTATTTTTAAGTGCATACTTATATATAATTCTATTTTACAAATTAATAGTTTAAATTTTGGTAACTCAAATATTAATTATATCGGAAATTTTGTTTTTGCTTCATCAATACAAATTGTCAATATTTCTAGTTGTGACATTGATATTATCTTTAATGACCCAGCTCAAAAAAATAACAAGTTCAATTTTATTTATTCTTTTTTCCCCCATTTTTCAAGTCGGTTTTTTTTTTAGCATTTTTGGGTCATTTTTCAATAGTATTATTTCACTAAAAATAATTTTTTTTTTTTTAAATTATTTTTCGAAGCATTATTAAAATATTTAAATCAGATATTATTCTTGTTTAATTTGATTTTAAGTATTATGTTAAAATTTCCTAATTGGTATACATATATTACAATTTACACTGGGTAAATATTAAAACGTCAATTTGTCAATATTATTGAAAATAATCTGAATTATAATTTACAAAATAAATAACATAAGGTGCACGATATAAACTATAAAATGATTTTCATTGTAAAATTACCATAATCGTTTTATATTTGGGTTACACACGTCATTAAACCAATGCTACAATATTCCTTTATTTTATTTTATCATTTTATTTTCGTTGCATTAATATTACACTTACCAGAATACGTAATCCTAATAAAATATGGTAGTTTTTTTTTTTTTACAGATACAGGAAAATTATGTGTATAAAATAAATATGAAGCTGCTCATATAATATAGGTAGATACTAAAATTTATTTCTAGGATTTAGGAATTATGTAAAGATATTTAGATACTTTTGTATAAACGCGTCTTCGATAGAAACGTCCTGTGATACATGGTAAAAATATCGAAAATTAAAAATAAAACAAAAAAAAAAAATCCATGAGCATCAGAGTTCTATCACTAAAGTTTTGAATAAATAACCCAATACTATATAATATTATAATGCTATACTAAAATCATTATAAAGTTTCTCCAACTCCTCCGAAAAAAAAAGAGTAAGATAAGAAAATTTGATTGCAAAAATGATGGGGAGGGGGAGGAGGGGATTAAAATCTAAAATTCTCTAAATGCACATCTTTGATACTAACGTCGTATTATATTATATAAAATGTCTTTTCCGTTTGAAAAGTGTAGGGGAGTACAAACTAAAAACCTACAAGAATCAATTAGATATCAGAAAAACCACGGTGAAAATCATATTGAAATTAAAAAAAAAATTTTATCACTTTAATCTGTCTATAAAAAAATCTTTAATCTTTGAGTTTAAGTTCGTTTGGTTTAGAGGGAACCGTTAGAATTGTAAAAAAGTAGCGAGAAAAAAAATATATGTGTACTAGTATATAATATGTCGCAACAGATATAAAACAGTGCACTAGTATCTATTTTCGAGGAAAAAAAATATATACTCGTGTATATAAACGGGTCACGTATAATTTATTATTTAAAAAATGTGTGTACTTACATCAACGTGCACTCCCGACACATCGAATACTTGCACTTCGGGCAATTCTCCGGGTAGAAATCGGTAAAATTCGTTCCCGTCCTTGTACCATTTTACCGTATACAGTTTTTCACCTTGTAGGTCGTATTTGCACTCTAATCGTGTACTGTTTCCCACGAGGGTGTGTTGTTCGATTTTCAACTCCGTTAGTCTGAGGCAAAACGCTGAAAAAAAAAGTTTTTCTGTTAAATGCCAAAATAAAAATGTAGATATCTAGTAAAAGAAAAAAAATTAAATACATTTTAAAATAATATAACAGTTATTGATTTTGGCTATCTGATACATGATGTATATTAGAATAATATTATTGTTTTTTTATTTTTTATTATTATTTCGGTATCATATTGTACAAATACGGCTATAATATACTTAGGTATTATTATTATAATTTATTTTTGATTTTGAATGTTTATCGTAAAAAGCTACATCAAGTTTTGTACATATATACTATTTTTGATACGTCGTATCAAATGATTTTAAGCACAAATTGCAACTGTGGTGTTAATATAAATACATTTAAAACCGTGACCTAAGTTTTATAATTGATGACATTATAATAAAAATAATATGTATAATCGACATTATACAATATTAGTAAATTGTATAAATGTAGGCACACAATTTTTTGTTATCTATTTTATTTTTTTACTTAAATTACCAACTATATTTTAAATATATCTACAGATTAGAATGTAATAACATTCTGGCAATCATATAACTATTTTAGACCAATCATAGAAAAAAAATTAGGAAATATCGAACGGTGACAAATCGTCTGAAGGAAAAATTATACTCTAGTGACGGAACGTTGCTGTTCATACGGGTATTTTTTTTTTTTTAAATTAAGTTGAAAAAAAAACAACATCAACTATCTACATAATAAAGGTTAAACTCGTGTTTCGTTTGCCGTCACTTAAAAAGCGTAAAAGAAAGTATATAGGCACCTACCCACCGGAAAATGCATTGAAAATGATTACACTTGAAAATCGTATAGATGTATTGTTTATAAGAGACGCACACTCGATGTACGCGTATATAGTTAGGTGCACGTGACATACGTGGTCACTTAACCCACATAACACAAAGTATACAGTATTGTGTAAAACTGAAAATCAGCCCGTAGGCCATAGTAATAATATTACGATGACAGCTGCATAAAATAATATACGTTGGCGTTTCAATATATAAAATTATTCGATGTTCGGAAAATGGAGTTTGAAAAATAATATGATTCGCAAAATACCGAATGGTTATTATTATTAGAGAGCGAATTTTTAGGTTCTTAAAAGTTAACAATAATAATATAATGTTATCGATGTGCTCTAAAAAATTCTTGACAAATATGTTTGAGTCTGAAAATAACCCGTATTCCTCAAAGTATAGGTATTTATATACGCTCTAAATTGTCTGTAATACATAAATATAAAAAAAAAAATTGGTTATTTATATCTTCCATACATTTTATTTTGTTTGGCGAAAGACGAGCGAAGTGATTAATGGGTAGAACCTCATAGTATTATTCGACATAGTATAATATTTAAAGATTATTTTTTGTGCTTATAAGTGCGTGACACTAAATTTGTTAGAATATTTCATTATCATCTGTGAACGTATACAAACATAGAAAATCCAGCTAGTTTACATTGGCAAGGTATTTGGTAGAGGTCAAGAGTATAATAGTTTACGAATTATCCCATTTACTCGACCACTGCCAATAGCTGTCTATATAAAGTTTTGATATTATTATTGATATTATTGTATTGATATTATAGTGTTTTTATAGTTTTTAGAATATAATTGAATGGACAGAAAACTTATGTTTGTTTTTTCTAGACGTGGTAAAATTGTTAAAACATTTGAACCGTTTTTGTGCTAATATTAGACATTTTAATTTTGCGTAAACTCATACAACCCAATATTAAAATATGGGTTTCAAAATAAAACAGTTCTAAGTATTTTAAAAATGTCCGGTCGAAAATTTATAAATTGAGATACTGATTTATTTTATTTAGATTTCTACCCATAAACATAATCTACTAGGTTACCAAATTCGTTTAAAATTGTGTAATAATTATTAATTTTTTTAAAATACCAGAAATTGTTTACGATCACAGAACAGGGTTATACAACATTGTTTCTTTTTTGTAATAATTGTACTAGAGTCGTGAGTTGGGATAATTACACTTTGTATTTAAGTTTGAAACTAAAACGAAAAATGTATTTAAACATTTTTTATTACAAAATCCAGGATAGTAAATTCAGGATAGAATGAAACAAAATTTCGGTATTATAAATATTTACTAACGATAAATGGTTAATTTTTTAAAAAAAAAAAAAGAAATCGAAATTTACGATAATTTAAATATTGTTTTCATTGCCACATTACTAAATAATGACATTCGATTCGCCCAATTTTTTCTAAAAATTAAAATAATTATTACAAACTTTAAAAATCTATAGATTATCAACGATGTATCGTCAATTAATATTTGATAAAATTTAAAAATAAACGTATAACATGTATTGTAGTGTAAAGCTACACTAAAGTAATTATTACAAAAAAGAAAAATTTAAAAATAGTAAACAGGACAAAACTGGAAGGTATTTTACTTGTCAGATCTCCGCGGTACACCCTGTATATAATAACTAGGCAATAATAATATTCAGGTTTACGATCGTAATAATAATATTTATAATAGTATTATAATATTATACTTTTACGTTTCGTATTATAGTAGGTTAGTAGTAATATCTTAGGTATTACTATATGATGAGGGGTGAGGGAACACACGGCGTTTAGTGTCGGCAATATGTGTACGTCCGTGCATTTTTCGCGCTAAATTAGGTCGTGCGAGTGCAATAATAATGAACTCGTAACAAAACAAAACAAAACAAAAAAAAAAACAAAAATAATAATAATAATAGTAAAAAAAAAAAAACAAATGAAAATATGAAAAGCAAAAAAAAAACCCCACGTCTGATAAAATCGAACGTACGTTTTCGTTCGTAATAATATAATAATTTTTTTTTTTTTTTTTTACGGCTTCTCATATATTTTCTCAAATTATGACATTTTCTTCGCGCGAGTTCTCTAATAATAAATATTTAAATTGGACAAATAATTTTGCTGTTTCGTGAATTTTATTATTATTATTTTTTTTTTTAGGTAGAAACGCATAGTTTTTATGTTTTATTGCATAAGTATATATAGTATAGGTATACCCACCTACCTACCAACGGTTTTTTTTTCATCATGTTTTATTCGAGGCAATGTTTATACACAAATAAACGCGTTAGTCGTTTTTAATTAAAAAAGATATTTTACACACACTCGCTGCAAATACATAATAATATACAAATGTTTAAGTAGTTTAGTAAATAATAATGCCACGTGGCAGTATATTATTTACACAATACCTAAAAAATATTATCTCATATTATATATGAGATTATAAAATAAACACCAAATACTTTAAAAAAAAAAAAACAAACTACTCGAAATAAAGTAATCTTGTCTGAGTAAATGTACCTACAATCCCCGTAGTGTCAATGTGACGTCTTTTCCGTTCGTTTAAAAATTATATTAAATATAGTTTTTGAAGTTTTATTGTTTTTTTAATACCGAAAAATATTCTTATAGCGTTTCCACTAGATGTTTAAATCAACAAAAATCAAATGATTATGAATTATTTAAAAATCATCAGAATGTTTCGAAAATTTTACCTTAATACATATGTTTTACATAGTAGTTGGTGCATACCTATAATACTGATATAGATATGTGTATTATATTTTTAAATAATAATTATGTTATTATTATTTATTATATCTATTTTAGAATAATAAAATTGGAAGAGAAAACATACAGAGTAATGTCTAAAATTTTTATCTCTACGCGACGAAAAACGAGTGAGTCAACAACCATATTTTTCTACTTGTTGCTAAGGTGACTCAGAAATTAACAAAAATTGTACCTATAATTTCCATTTGTTAAGAAAACAACATTTAACATTTAATAAAGGAAACCTTCAAAACATCAATTAAGCTAAAAATGCTTCCATAAAATTCTCAAGTTTTCAAGTTTTTGACTGGTGAAAGATTTCCGGTAGAAAAGTTGTTTACAGATACATTAAACGTAGACACACATACACATACACACACACACACATACACATGTACACTTGTTTCGTTCAGAATCTAAAATAGTGAATTTACAGGAGATAGTGGAGATAAGTACGGTTAATGTTGGTACATTATTATGTCATTTAGATCGATATGGAAATACTGGAATGGAAAGAAGCAAATATAGACTTAAACAGCGATATGGATGGAAATAATTGTTAATGATAGATAGGTATCTATCATTAATATCACCTATATGGAGTGAATATACCTATATATATATAGATAAAGAGGTAGAGAATGGCCGTTCGTGTATAGAAGAAGACGAATATAATAATAATTGTATTGGATAAAGTCATTCAAAATATTATATCGCCGACAAGTCGATTTTCCTCTATATAAGCCGTTCCAATACCGTAACGACCGAAACAAAGTTGCCGACTTTTCGTAACGGATGTGATCATTTTTAGATAATACAGTCCCGCGTGTTTGTTTTTTGTTGGTTTCAGTGGAGCGTAAGTCTTAAATAATCTTCTTCGGCTGCAGGTCTTTACGGCTCTCTAAGATTTTTCGACGCCAAAATAACATCACACCATCTACTCTGCTGTTTTGTACTATACTTAGTCCCCTCGGTCTTGCACTCCATGTAAATTCCTTATATCGTTTTCGAAAACGGTTTCAAATCTCTTCGATGCCACATCGTTTACCGTGTTTACCATCAGTTCTTTTCATTTGAGGTATCCCCGTTGAAAACGTCATATTGCGTTCTATGAGTATATTGTTAATCGTAATTGTAATTCGTTGCGTATGAGTTTCTTGGAAATGGGTTACCTATTGGTTATTAGGCTGCTGATACACTATCTGGTTTTAGACATTTACTGCATAAAACATACAACACCTTTTTTGTTGCAATAATAAATATAGAAAAATGATAGGTAGGTAGTAAGACACCTTGGACATATTAAATATTTTATTCATAACATTTTTTTTTTTAAAGCTGGATGATAAAAAGGTCTTCTGGATTAATTCATACTGGTTCAAATTCATAAGTTATTCCTCGCGAAGTTATTGTACTGTGCCGTTGTATCGAATTAATTTAGATCTATCAAAATTAATTCAGAACTACGGAGTAATTCAAAACTATTGAATAATTTGAATAGTTACTAATAATAGGTGTTAAACTTTTAATCGAAAATCTATAAATATTGAGTAAACTTTTATATTTTCGATCAGATATGATCTCGTACTAGATAATTAGATTTATATAATTTAGATTTCAAACTGAAATAGAAATTATATTTCATTTGGTGCCGTAATTATTTCGAATTTTAGGTTCTGAACGAAGCCAGGATGTATTGGTTTTACAAAGAAGTTTATAATTACCATATCATTTTCTTTGAACAACTTTTCTAACGGAAATTTTGCTCCAATTTTCAAGTATAACAGTTTTTCTAAAAGGAACACTGGTTGTAGTTGTATTTTAAAGAAATTTTTTTATTTTGATTTTTTCAAGGGGTTTTGATAATAAATGAGAAAGACTTAGGAAAAACGGGAAGCACGAACTGCATTATTTTCAAATCGTAAATATATTACTCCATTCAGAATCGTTTTTCGTTAGCAATAATAAATCGTTGCATTTACATTAAATTTTCCATCTTCCTTCCTAACTTCTCACCTATAACAGACCCACTCATCGCACAATGTATATTAGTCTTTTTTCAATAAACGTATACTGTTTTACTACTATATACGCTGTTAAACACTACTATATACTTACTGGCGATAGCCTACTGTTACCGTCTTTTACTCCTGCATACTAATACTCGGAGTCAGACGATAGAAAAGTATGATTATAGTTTTATACAATGCCTTTTTCGGGCAGCATGACCTTTATTGTTTACGAATACTTGACGACAGGATGAAAACCCAAAGAATGCGCACTGGTCGCAGCCACCCGATGAAAACTCGCGGCGCAGACCCGTGCGCGCGAATAAAATGAAAGATTGCCTTTCCCGGGGGGGTTTTACTGTGGGATTTTCCGGTAGGCGGTCAGAATGAATATAAGAATACAAAACGCGGAAGAGGAAAATAAAAACATAAAATAAAATAGCGAGAGAACAAGAAAAAAAGAAAGACATCTCTATATACTAGCTCGCTGGGGAAATCGGGTGTTTCGCGTGCGGTTGCAGTCCGTTGACCAATATATACTTATACTATATAACCTCGTGCAAGTAGATAGGTTTATTGTATATTATATTGTTGTTTGTCGAGACCCGGTGATTTTGGTGTGAGAAATTAGGTACCATCACACACGTGTCGGTAAAACAAAAATTAAATAAATTAGAATAAAAACTTTACCCAACGAATCTAAACTTCCTATATTGTCCGTCCAGTGTTGTATAAAACTGCAAGAAAGACACTTATTATTCCAGACGTACAATTTTATACCTAAGCAATATAATTAAATCTAGACATTTTTATTTTCGATATTTTTTCTCGTAGATAATGCATATAACACGACCAAATTTAAAATACTTTTAACTGTCTTTTTTGTAATTTTTTCTTTTACTACGTTATTAATATCGTCAATACAGATACAATTGTAACGCATTATATTTTAATGAAAACGTAGCGTTAAAAAAAAAAATAATAATAAAAATAAAGTTGCAAAACCAACTGTATCAGTTATGATACTGTCATATTAAAAAAATAATATTAATAAGAACAATATAGGGGGAACATGAATTTCGAGTAGGTACAGTATAGTTTTTTATTTTGGTTTTTTTATTACATTATCCAAATGTGTATTTTACCGACTAAATAATACATAATATTATTGTAGAAAATATACACAATACACATAAAAAGTGTGAAATGTTGACACTGTCGATGTTTGTGAGTTCTATGAAACTTAACGGAGAGTACGAAATTATACAATTATTGTGTGTTTTTTTATAAATTTATATTACATATATTATGCATAGTGATAAAATACATATTTTCGTATAAAAATCAAAGGTATATAAAATAATTTTCCGATAGATTTTATAATCAGTTGCAATAGTGTCTATAGCTTTTTATTATAAGTATTTATAGAAAATATTATTATCGTGTAAGTGAAATGCACGAATTACCAATACTTATACATTTACTTTATATTTTAAGTACATATTATTTGCATATTTTAATATTTTATTTTAGAAACATTCAAATCTCTTTCAAAAATTGTAATTTGAGTATAGAATTATAATAATGAAAAAAAAAGAGCTGATACTGGGGATGGGTGTGGCCACAGTTGTAAGTGGATATTGGAGAAGGTGGGATACATGAAATTATTTAATTTATATTTTTAAGCAACGAAACACCATTGCTAACGAAAGACGATTCCGAGTGCAGTTCGGTAATACATAATCTGAAGTGCCGTAATTTTTGTTGCGATTTTCTTTTGAATTTGATTTCAAAACTCTTATTAAAAAAAAATTCAATGAAAATATGTGTCGTTTTTCAATTGGATTCATATTTGTGCTAAATATACGTAGGTATTTAAAATAGCGAAAAAATCGAATTTTTTCCTAATTAATCGATTTTATTTTAAATACCGTTTCGAAAATCGAAAAAATTACCCATGATTTACCAAGTAGATGAAATTGACTTTAAGAAAAGGAGCTACATTTATACATCGAAAGAAGTTTTCTAGGATAAAAGTGATCTACAGTATATATAAAAAAAAAAATAAAGTACCATTGTGAAAAAATTAAAAAAAAGGAAAAAAAGTCTTCCGATGATTTTGGAAATTTTAAAACGCCTAGGTAAGTCCAATATAAGTATAATTACCAAGTTTTAAGTCTCTACGTGTATTTATAACCGAATTACTGTAAAAAACTAACAAAAATTAAATTTTCTTAAAAGCTCAAAAGGGACTCAAAAGTTTTGGCAGTGATACTGTAAGAAAATAAATAGAAAAGGCAGCAAAAACAGAATTTTGTAATTTTGTGATTAAATCATTTTTTCTGGTTGAATACGTGTTTTTGTAAAATAATGAACGTACGTTCATGAATTGTACGTTTTCCTACTTACGTTTTTTCTCACTTACGGGCTTTTATTTAAAAAAGGGCGTCGAAAATGAAAAAAAATGACATTTTTAAAATATAATCTAGATAACTGGAGCTTTCAGAAAAGTCATGGTTCTAAAGATCGGAGCAAATTTACTAGGAAAAACGTGTCCACAGTCTAGAACAAAGAAAAATAAGAAGAAATTGGAACCAAAAAAAAACACCAAGAATATTATATAACTTGGTTTTTATGTTGGTATAATTTGCGCATAAGCATGTGAAAATTGCAAGGTTATGATCTTGCAATTTTCACACGGAACCCACGCTGAAAAAGTATAATACGAAATAATTAGAACTTTAGCCGCGGACTGATGCATCTCTGTATGAGCGAATCATACGATGTAGATAGTTACACGATACGGCTTCCAGTAGCGCTGCGTATCGTGATTAAAACAATAAAATTACACACTTACAAATTTTTAAATTTTCTCAATATCTCGTTTTTAATTTTATAAAGGAACTTTTTTTTAACAAGTCACCAACATAGTTTCATAATAATAGTTAAACTGCACTATCATTCAGTATTACTGACGAATCAAATTAATTTCACGAGAATTTTTACTTTAGGTTATTATATTATTACAGGCATTTAGTTCTTTTTTTGCCCACAGCGTTTTTACAGCAGTTCTACTAATGGATTAATTCGTTATATTGTTTCGACGTTTTTATGCATGGAAATATTTATTATTGTTTTTTTTAGCTATAAAATATATTACACGGGATTATATTGCAGTTATAAACTCGACGATGAGAAGACATTTATAATTCAGTAAAATTTAGCTGCGGTGACAATGTGTACAAAGATTTTTTTTCACAGTTCTATTCATACACGTTTTTCAAAATTATAATCAATATTAGTATTTTTTTTTTTTTTTTTTTTGTAGTATTATTTATGTTAAATATATTTTTTTAGTATTTATAGGTTATACACAATTAATACATTTATTTAGTTGTTTTTCGCATAGAACTTCAGTATTTCCAAAAATAATAAAAATCAAATAAATACTAAAACTTACATAAATGTAAAAAATTTAAAACGATGGACGCTACAAATGTTACTTAAATACACATGGAATTAGTGACATGTATTGAGGGCTGACATAGTATGACGTAAGTACTCCCCCCAAAATTTCTTTTTCGATTAAAACATTTTAAGTAGACTTAATTCATAAAATGATCACATTTCTACTTTGTCACCCATCTATAAGGCAAATAAATTTATATTTATATAACTTGTTATTTGTCATGATTTTATTTTAAACTTCATATTACATCATAACAATATGGTTTTACAATATCGTTCGTTTCTATTTTTAGATAATTTTGTTCCAGGCCTTATACAGACAACGAACATTTTTCGAAAACAATGACACGATCTGTCTATTGCAGCTTGCTTCTGGAGGGAGGGAGGAGCAACTCGAAAATAAAATAAAACAAAATTATATACATATAGGCGTAGAGTAGGGTGGCTAAGCGGGCTATATCCCCCTCCATTAAATTTTCTGGAATTCCACTGAAAAATGAACACACAGGATAAGGTGATAAGGTTTCTTCACTACCATTTATTTAAAAAAACGTATAACGTCCATAATCTTTATTGTCGATAAAAAAAGAAATTGCAAGTGTTGTGAAAGGTGCCTTTTTGTT